TTATAAGAGAATTGACGCCTGCTTGAAAATTGAGTTTAAGCAATTTGATAAGATAAAGTAAATATTGCAACATCGCTGTCAAAAGAAAGAGGTTAGAAGAAGGCTTAGAGCCGAAAATATTTTTGTGGAAGGTTGCCACCTATTTGAAAATTACAATTTGATTTAATTGATAGAATAAATTAAATATTGCAATTTTGGTATCAAACTTGAGAGGTCTAGCAAAGTTTACCGCCGAAAATATTTGCGAGGAATGTTGCCACCTGTTTGAAAATTACAATTTGATTTAATTGATAGAATAAATTAAATATTGCAATTTTGGTAACAAACTTGAGAGGTCTAGCAAAGTTTACCGCCGAAAATATTTGTGAGGAAGGTTGCCACCTTCTTGAAACAGTACATTCACCATCGATACTATCGATAGTGCCATCGATAGTTTTCCAGCTCTAGTAAGCACCAATCCATTATTGTTATTATTACTAGCCAATGCCCGCTTGCTTCGCGACGCCTAATAAAAACTTTTGTGTTGGACAATGCAAAAGAGCGTTTAAAAGCAAAAACGGTCTGTAAAGTAAACATTTTTAGTTTCTCAACTTAAACTACTACTAAAGAGGCCAAGAATAGTAACACTGTGATACCATATGGAATACTAATCTCTTTCGATGTCATGAGCTTTACCGATGGTCTTATTTCCACCTGTGAGATCTCTGCCGAGCATGCGTAATCTTTTTGTATGATCTTGCAACTTTAACATTGGTCCGATGCGTAGGCCAAAAAAAGTCCTTATAAGGAATCTCTGCAGCACAGATGTGCGTTTCCTCTTATAGGAGGGCCAAGAATCCTCGCAGTCCCACACGATGAAGTTTTCCCGTGCATTGGCTAAATAAGTCGTGTGATCTCTTGAATATCGTTCAAATGAAGCAGTTGATATACCTACCTTTCATGACCGGATGTGGTCGAATCTTTCCTTGTTAATTCGCCACTTTTACAATTCGTGTTAATATATATGAACTGGTTTCTAAGTAGATAGGGCAAGATCGCATTTAGGGGGTATGAGGGCGTCAGACAAAGGTGCGCTTACACAATTTTGCGGTCTTTCTATGCATATCTAACCCCATCCTTCATTTAGCCATCTGAAAACTTAATTCGTATAACTTAAACATAGGACCAAAGCAGACCAAACACACGAGATTTCTATATATTTCGGCTGCAGCGCAATCCATTAGGCTCATTTTCTGCAAAACCATTGCTTATCATAAAATGAATACGCATTATGAATTTCAACCATATTGTATAAGAAATGTGGATTTTCCAAATACCTTGACTCCAGCGCCACTACTCCAGCGCCACGTAGCGAGTATTCTAATAGCCTACAAGGCATAACCTCCGATAATTTGAGTTTAGTCCGAACAACGAAAACGGCTATCATTTTATCTATGTACGTACGGTGCAGAGCTGGGTAAATGCAATTACATTACAATTACATTTCTCAGTAACTGTAATTAGGATTTAATTCCTTCAGTTCACAGCAATGGAATCGATTACTTTTTCAATTCCTTGAAGTACTTAATTTCAAATGGAATGGTTTTTTTCTTTAATTCCTTTACAAGGAATTTCATATTGTAATTGGAATAAATTACGTGCTAGTAGAAAATGTATTTTTTTTTCCAATTCCTTTGAAAGGAATTGAAAATGTAATTGATTTTTTTCGAATTCCATTCCTCGAAGCAATTTAAAAGTAATCGAAAAATTTATAAAAAAAAAATTTTACTGTTGAATTGCAATAGCTTTGTTAAATTTCTTGGTGGCTAACTGCCTTGAATAAATAACTTATACCTATGTAGTATTACTAATTGGACTTCAAGAAAACTGAATAACTTAAACCGTAGCTGTTCAGTTTATAGGGTAATGGTTAAATTTTCCAGATCCTACCGCGAACGTGCCTCGCGGCAGATGAGACCCATAAATGTCGAAGCAGGCATAACCCGCCCGGACTGTTGCTGCCTTGGGCACTGCTGTTCTCTTGGACTAATCCCTGCGTATCTATAAAAATGCACTGAGTTAATTGTGTATATTATGGTACCCTTAATTCTACCCAAAATGGCGTACTCTTACTGGTATTCTGCGTTACAAATGAGGATAGAGTCCGCTTGAATTAGGAGCCCTGTGGGACTGGAGACCCTACCACCTAAGAGTTTTATAAACAAATTTCATTGCTATGGCTAAATTTTGATGATAACACTGGTACGACGCTAAAATTACACAAAAAACGCCGAGACAAGTAAAATTAATTTTAAGTAGTATGTTACGGATCTGTATACCGTTTTTTTTAGATAAGGTCATTTAGTCAAGTTATGTTCATTTTAAGTTTGCATTGCGAATGAAAAAAAATTCAAACTTTAACATAAAAATAAAAATAAAAATGCTAAAATTAAACTATCGTGATTTAAAATATTTTTCTCGAGTGATCAACAAAAATTTAAAATATATTATACATTTACACTGAAAGGTTGTAAGTGTCTTGTACAAACGTCCGCAAAGGTTGCAGTTGAACAGGCATTTAGGGTGGTTTTTGCCGCGGTTTTTGAAGAGCTTGTGCGCTGTTGTTGCAGTAAAGGGTAGGTTTTTGATTTCTTAATCTACTGAGGGCAGAAAAACCGGGAGGGTTTATTAAAACGGGGTTTTTGTATTTTATGTTGTAATTGTATCTGAAATTTTTCAAAATTTCTTTATATAATTCTCTTCTCATGGAGAAAATTTAAAATTTTTTAATGCAAATCTTAACTAAAGATACTTAAAAAGATATAAAATATGCTTTATTTTATCAATTTAACCGAGTTAACATTTTCAAATAGGTGGTAACCCCCCTCAAAAGTATTTTTGAAAGTCTTCTCTTTTAAACCTCTTTAATTTGATATCTAGATAATTAAGTTGAGTTAAATTTTCAAACAGATGGTTACTCTCCTCAAACATATTTTCGGCAGTAAGGCTTCTTAAAACTTTAGTTTGACACCCACATGGCAATATTTCATTTATTTTATCAATTTGACTGAGTGAAAATTTTAAAATAGGTGGCAACCCTCGTCAAAAAAACTTCCAACAGTTATCTTTCTTAAACCTCTTTAACTTAATACCCATATTGTAATAATTCATTAATTTTATCAATATAATTGGGTTTAACAATTTTAAAATAGGTGGCAACCCTCCAAATTTTTGCGATATCATTGGTTCTGGTATTATACCGAATAATAAAAAAGAAAAATATTATTCAAATCGGTTCAGCCGTTCTCGAGTTTTGATGACCGTGACATACGAACACAACATTTTTATATATATAAGATATACATAGAAGATGTCCAATGTGTGCTTTCGATTTTAATCTTTGACCACAACAAAAATTCCACATTGTACATTCGTGAATGAACTTTCAGTTTCTCGATTACTTTTACAATTCCTTTGAGTAATTGAAAAAACTAAAGTACTCTTGCAATTCCAGGCAATGGAATTGAAAAAAAAATCAATTACATTTTCAATTCCTTTCAAAGGAATTGGAAAAAAATTACATTACTAGCACGTAATTTATTCCAATTACAATATGAAATTCCTTGTAATGGAATTAAAAAAAAAAACAATTACATTTGAAATTACTTCAAGGAATTGAGAAAGTAATCGATTCCTTTGCTGTGGACTGAAGGAATTGATTCCTAATTACAATTCCTTGTAATTTGTAATTGGGAGTAATTTAATACCTAAAGGAATCATCACGACCCAGCTCTGGTACGGTGACCATATTAACCAGCGTAAAATAAAGGACATTTTTTCAAAATGATACAAAGGTATAATACAAGTACCTCAGCATATCGTAATTTAGATCAAATTTACCAGTTAATTATATTATTTAATTGAGCAAGTTCCCCTTCTCGAAAAGCGTTGTAACCGGATTTCAACCGATTCCGAAAAATGAAACCAACTCCTTATAAAGCACTACGTCATCATTTGCTGCCAAAATGCCTTTATCATAATTCATACTACACGACGAAGCCAGCGGCGGTTTATTGTTATTTTTCAGTGGAACTGGAAACTCAGCGTGCAACACGATCCTGGGCACAACTTTTTCTGTGCTTTTGGGAACAATGGATTTTACTCAAAGTATATTAATTTTTCTAAGAAATTTTTGTTTCAATTATATAAATTTCGCACATCAGTATTAGATATGATTCGTGATTTATAGATTGTACAAACATTACCGATTAAATAAAAACTCTTAAGTGGGGTTGCGAAACAAACTGGCGAAGGTTTTCATTATATTTTATAAGGGGCATTTTATTTTTTCATATTCGCTGTTTAAAAATTGACCTCTGCAAAATCGAAAGGACATTTAAAGGACAGTTTAAGAAATAAAGGACAAATGGCGTCCTTTATTTTGAAAAAATTATAAAGGGCAGAGGGTTCAAATAAAGAACTGTCCTTTAAAATAAAGGACGGATGGTCACCGTATATATAGGTATCTAGATAGGACAGTCTATAACGAAACTCATTAAATTCAAAGCTAAAAACTTTGTGCGAAATTTAAACACATTCTTTTACCAAAAATTAAAAACAAAGTTGGAATAGTTCAATACAGTGACACTTGCCAATTTGCGTAAATGTATATAGATGCAGTCTTTCCAATAACTACCACTTTTCGCCATAAGTACGGTATTGATAACATACATATGTATGTAGCTATGTCGAATTTCAGAACTTTAACGTGAGCGGCTCCAGAGATGAGTGATATAAGAAGCATGGGGGTGCCATGCCTTCTTTTCCATTACTTACCACTTTCCGCCATAAGTTTTGATAATAATGTAGCTGTGTCAAATTTCAGGACGTTAGAATAATCGGTTCCTGAGATAAGCGATATGAGAAGTTCAGTTTGTATCGGAGGTGCCACGCCCCCTTTTCCAATACGTACCAGTTTTCGCCATAAGTAGGGTGTTTAGGCCAACGGCCTAAATTTGTCGCAGCATTTTCAACCCAGCCTAATGCTTAACATAACTTCATTATTATGTCAACTGTCGAACTGTTTACCACTATGTTACTTATGCTAAAATGTCCCTTCGGTAAATATACAGTTCGACAGGCAACAGTAAGAAGAAATTTAAACCGGTCACTTACTTGTTTTCCGAGAGTGAAGTCAAGAGGACGTGTTCCAGCCACCGTGTTCCCGTATCAATAAAAGGTAACCTGTACAACCAACATATATGTATATATATTAATACCAATTTATCTATTTTTGAATAAACACCAATTTATATTAAATATTAATACAAACGTTTTGCTTTGTTTTTCATTCCAATAAATTAAATCGGCCACAACTTTGTCCAAGCGTTGTGCCGGTTTAACATACTGGTCCTTCAACGCCGTAACATTTGAACTTCCACTTGGCAGCGCCCAGCTTTTTGAGCCAATCCGAGGATTTCCAATTTGAGCCTATCCAATTTGAGCCTATCTGAAGCAGCCGTACATTGCAGCAGCAGCTACAAAATTTTTGCACAAAGCAACCACAGGAGCTACCAGCATCAAGAGCAAAAACACACACACGAACACCGACACCTGTTAAATAAATTAAGTCATCAATTTTTTAAATTAAAGGTACGTGGGTCAAATTTCACTGCACTTAGATTATCTTGTGTAGCATTTCTTTGGTTAATAATTAAGAAATCGCGAGTGATTTTGTGAAATATTGAAGTTTTAAGCGCAACCGAAGTGCTAAGTGACACACACACACGCACATATATATGTACATACATTTGTGGGCGCTAAAGCCATTTAAATATTAAACAAGTGTGATCGGGCATAAAAAAAGGCAGTGTTTTGTTTTCCTTTGGAATTATCGCGAAACAATTTGCAAGAAGTTTCTTTACGGTGATTAATTCAAATAGTTTAATTTTTGTTAATCATATTTTCCTTGGTGACTTGCATTTTAGTATCGAAATTTACCAACAACAACACTGCACTTGTATTCGGTTTACATAACCAAACTTTTCACTGCACCGAACTTTGGTACTTGCAATATTTCCTTTTCACAAAATCACTCGCGTTTGTATTTAATTTATTAAAAACCAATACAAATTTTGGCACTATTTCTAATTAGTTAAGTGGTGTGTGTTTTCCATATTCATTATTTAGTTGCACTTGTCGTATAAAGCGCTTGTTCATAAGAATATATACACATACATACATATACAGATCTAACTGGTTTGGTTGGCGAGCAATTTCTTGTGAACAAACAAACATACATACATACGTATACTTAAAACGCATTTATATTGCTAAATCGGTGCTAATAAACATAGAAAGCTTACAGATACAATTTAAAGGAAAATTAGAGAATTTTTATTACTTTGTGGTTGAATTGGTGGTATTTTGGTGGTGCATTCTGCTTATATACATTGGGTATATAGTTTTGGGTTACCTTGACATAGGATTTTCTTCGTGTGCTACCTTTACGGTTGGAAAATCGGCTTCTTTTGAGTCAGTCTCTCATAGTGATACTTCCAAAAATTTCTTGTGAAGTTGTTATTTCGCAAATAAGTGAAAAAATTAAATAAGGAAACATACACCCGGTTAGCAGATTCGGTCATTGAATTTGATACAGAATTTCTGAGCACTCCCACAGGTGAGAACACCAAACATTCGCTGAAAATTCAGCAAAGCGAGCTTAGTGTACTGTGGGAGAAAGCCAAAGCACTCTTTGACGAAGTTCTGACTACCGAATCAACTAATGCTAAAGATGTTAGCGCTATAAGAAAGAAAAATAAGATCTGCTATGCAGCTTTTGTCCGGTGTATGACAAAAATTAACGAATATTCCGAAAAGTTGGAAAAATCAGAAAAGGAAAGTGAAGAGATGTCACTCGCTTCGCATAGTTTGCATCTTCCACCTTGCGATATTGACGTTTTTAAAGGTGACTATCTGTCGTGGCCAACTTTTCGTGACATGTTCACGGCAATTTATATCTTGAACAAACGGCTTACACCCATACAGAAGCTTTATTATCTGAATCAGAAAACGCAGGGTGAAGCCAAAGAAATTGTCAAGAAATGCGACTTAACGAATGAAGGCTTTAACACATCCTGGAAGAATCTTTGCGATAGATACGAAAATAAGAGGATCCTAGTTAACACTCAGTTGAAGATTCTCTTCAACTTGAATACAGTTGATAGCGAATGTGGAAGCTCAATAAAGAGATTACAAAGGGATATTAATAATTGTATATCATCCCTAGAGAGTCACCAGATTGACATTTCAAACTGGGACCCTATTATTACGTATCTGTGTTCTACTAAACTACCTGAGGAAACCCTTTCGCTGTGGGAACAATCGGTAGAAAATAAAACAGAAATATCCAAGTGGTCAGATATGGACCGATTCCTTTCAAGCAGGTTTCAAACGTTAGAATCGGTTTCAGGTTTAAGAGGAATCAAGACTTCGAAGTTTTCAAAAGTGCCAAGTCATAAGCATTCCTCTGAACCCTCTCACAAGAAACTTGGCGTTTTTCAAACTAGTGTCGCCAAATACATGTGCAAAATGTGCCAAAGCAACGAGCATAGAATTCATATGTGCCCAAAATTTCTGAAGATGTCTGTAGCTGATAGAATCTCCTTTGTAAAAACGAACAATAGCTGTTTTAACTGTCTGTCTTTCGGACATTCGGTGTCGAAATGCACGAGTTCTTATAACTGCGCCAATTGCCATTCTCGACACCATACGCTCCTACACAATCAGACAGCACCGCCTAAAACAGCTACCAGGGAAAATACTTCTAATCCTGCGGACAATTTACCATCGACTTCCAGACAGGCACAATTGAGGAATCAAGCTTCAAAGGGGAAAAGTAACCAAGTAAAAAGGTGCAATCACATCACGCTAATACTAGCAAAGGTGTTTTACTCGGCACTGCTCGGGTAGTAACCCGAGGCACCAATTATGCCGCTAGAGCTCTAATTGATTCTGGCTCTGAGTGTTCCTTCATTACGGAGAGGCTCAGACGCAGAATCAACTTGCCCACAAAGAAAATGCATGCTCAAGTTTCGGGCATCAATAATACGGTTTCTGCACAGGTAAAAGAAGCGTGTTCTATACAGTTGCGGTCACCGATTGACCCATTCATTTCAATTGATGCTATTGTGTTAGTGCTACCCACTCTTACCGGGAATTTGCCAACTTGCGACATTAGCGCACTAACACAACAAGCTTTTCCTGATCTCATCCTGGCAGATAAAAGGTTTTATGTAAATGAGCAAGTCGATCTTGTCTTGGGAGGGGACATATATCCCCATATAATTTTGAGTGGCATTAAGAAGAATGTTCTTAGTACTCTTCTGGCACAAGAAACAGTGTTCGGTTGGATACTGACTGGTTGTGCTGATGCAGTCAACCCAACCAACAATAATAGAGTATCGTTCTTCAATGAAGTGGCCCTAGACAAACAGCTAAGCTCTTTTTGGGAACTTGAGGATCTTCCACGAGATAAAACTGCAACAGCTGAGGAAGCAAAGTGCGAGGAGCTTTACAAGCGTACAACACAGCGGAATCCAGATGGGAGGTACATCGTGTCGCTTCCTTTCAAGGCGGAGTTCCCGGCTGATATAAACTTAGGGCCATCACTCAAAATCGCGTTTTCTCAATTTTACAAGAACGAAACTCGACTTAGAAAAAAATCCAGACTTACAGAGGGAATATAACAAAGTCATAATGGAATACGAGACAATGGGCCATATGTCTAAAGTTAATGCAATTCAGTCAGCAGATGCAGTCGACAGTTACTATTTACCACATCACGCTGTGGTAAAAGAAGAGAGTACTACGACAAAGGTTCGGGTGGTTTTCAATGCTTCGTCGTCTTCAGCCAATGGTGTCAGCCTGAACGATATTCTTCTTCCAGGGCCAGTGCTTCAGTCTGATTTACCAGTGTTGATTCTCCGCTGGAGACTTTCTAGATACGTCTTCAATAGCGATATTGAGAAGATGTATATGCAAATTCTTGTAGACGCCAACCAAACGAAGTACCAACGAATAATTTTCCGTACGTGTCCAAACGAACCAATTAGTATTTACGAACTAAAGACGGTTACTTTCGGTATAAATTGTGCTCCTTATCTCGCGATAAGGACATTGCTCCAGCTAGCTGATGACTCAGAAAGCCTCTATCCTATAGCCTCGGACATTTTACGAAAAAGTATGTATGTCGACGAGGTTCTTGCCGGAGGACATACTATTGACTCCGCGATAAAAGCCAGGGATGAGATTTCCGCAGTTTTAAAATCAGCTGGTTTTCCACTTAGAAAATGGACGTCGAATTGCAATAAAATATTGCAAGGCATACCAAAAGCACATCTGCTGAGTGAAAATTTCTTAGAGTTTGAGGACACAAGCAGTGTAAAAGCCCTAGGTATAAGGTGGAACGCGCATTCCGACCAATTTTATTTTATAGCCAAGCCAATAGAAGATAACGTCAATCCAACGAAGAGAGCGATATTATCAGCCATCGCTAAACTCTTTGACCCATTAGGTTGGCTAGCTCCAATGATAATTGTCGCGAAAATACTTATGCAGAGCATATGGTTAGAGGGTGCAGACTGGGACGAGACTGTGTCCCCAACAACACTAGATAGATGGCAGAATTTCACGAGAAACTATCAGGAAATCAATAATATAAGGATACCACGTTGGGTATCTTTCTCACCAACGGAAAAGGTAGAGATTCACGGATTCTGCGACGCATCCGAAAAAGCGTACGCTGCCGCAGTCTACTTACACGTGGAAAAAGAGGATAAAGTACTTGTAAATCTGCTATTAGCAAAAACTAGAGTAGCGCCAGTCAAAACAATTTCCTTGCCTAGATTAGAACTTTGCGGGGCGGTATTACTGTCAGAAATAGTCGAATCAATCACCAAAAATCTTGAATTAGGCCACCTAAACATACATCTGTGGACTGATTCGACGATTGTTCTGGCGTGGATACGCAAGCCCCCATGTTCGTGGTCAACCTTCGTTGCCCACCGAATTACAAAAATCATAGACAAAGTAGGGAACTTGAACTGGCTTCACGTCGATTCAGCTACGAATCCCGCAGATTTAGCAAGCAGAGGCATACTGGCGAACGAATTGGTCAAAAATTCTTTGTGGTGGCAGGGACCTTCTTGGCTACAAGAAAATAGGGAAAAATGGCCAACCCAAGAGACAGACTTCACCACGAGCATTGAGGAAAAAAGGGTGCACGTTCATGCAACAACATCGACAGACAAAATCAATGACATTCTTGACCGGTTATCTAGTTTACCGAGGGCTTTGAGGGTGATATCTTATATATTGCGTTTCTTTCAAAGAACCCATCCGAAGACAAAAGCTTCTTTTCAGTCGGAATCTTGCTTAATTTCATCTAATGAAATTAAATCAACGACTACTCGCCTGATTAAACTTGCTCAGAAGCAACATTACGGAGCAGAAATCGCGAAACTGAAAACTAAAGAATGCATTGAGTCTAAGAGTGAAATACTTCCTCTTAATCCATTTCTGTATAAATATGATGTGCTGCGGACGGGTGGTCGTCTTGGCACATCTCTGGATCTAGCGTACAACGAACGGCATCCCGTAATACTTCCATACAATTGTAGATTATCCCATCTGATTGTCCAATTCATCCATGAAACTTCTCTCCATGGTGAGAATCAACTAATGTTGCGTCTCATACGAACGCAGTATTGGATTCCGAAGGTGAAAACGATGATAAGGTCCACAATCCATAACTGCAAGATCTGCACTATCTATAAAAAACGCGCGCAAGGCCAACTTATGGGGATTCTTCCACAAGAGCGAACAACTTTTTCGCGACCATTTACCAATGCTGGGGTGGATTTTGCTGGACCATTCGACATTAAGAGTTATCGTGGACGAGGCTGCCGAATGTCAAAGGGTTATGTGTGTCTATTTGTCTGCTTTTCTACCAAGGCCATTCATTTAGAGGCCACAAGCGACCTAACTAAGTACTCAATCGTTTTTAGCAGCATTTTCCAGATTCGTTTCCAGACGAGGGTGTCCAAAAAATGTGTACTCAGATAATGGGACAAATTTCGTAGGAGCATCACGGGCTTTAAAAGCGGAACTAAAGGCATTTCTATCCGACGCGCGGACGAATACGTTATCAAAATATGCCCATCAGGCATTGACTTGGCATTTCATACCTGCCGCAGCTCCGCACATGGGTGGTCTGTGGGAGGCAGGTGTGAAAAGCTTTAAAAGCCACAGAACTGTAGGTGAATTAAATAGTGCACCGGTACTTCGGTGCATATGTACGGTTTTCAATAATACATGTTTTTTTTATCACGCACGTTTTTTTGGGTTCGAAATAACTTTAATTTACGTATTTTCTTTGTACGCATGTATTTCGTAAAATTCACTTATTTTGAGTTCCACATTAATTTTGTTTGTATACATTCACACTACTTACATATATTCATTCACCTGGAGTTAGCCTTTTATTTCCCCATTTCTTCTTTCACAACACCAACGCCGTTTTTTTTTTACGTTCATTTATGTTTTTTCCGATTCACAAACACAAATACTTCACCGGCACCGCACAACCGCACTTGTAGTAAACACAAATATATATAACCTTGTTTGTGAATGACAGGCGGCCATTCACGGAAGTAGGTTCTACTATCGATAACATAAGAAATAAGTTCGATACTTTACAGAGTTACCTTGAGAAGTATTTATACTCGGGCCGCACTTGCAAGTTTCTGTACCCAGTCTGCGTAAAATTTTGCGCAAATTAGCTTGCATTGCATTAGTTGGCATTGATGTGATTGCAGTAAATGAAATTATGTGTGCTTTTTTCATATAGAGGGGGTGGGTAGTAATAAATAACACATAATTATTTATTATTATCTATTTTTCAATTGCATAAGTTTTTCATTGATGCAATTTAATGCGAGCATAGAGACTGACGAAAAAAAAATGATAATTGCTACATAATAATTTGTTTCCACCACACTTTTCGTGCAATCTCCATGTCAGGTAATAAACCCACATACCTCTTGCAACCCTGTTGTACCAACCCATCAACCATAAAGGCATGAATGCACGGTCAAACCACCTATCAATCATTAAGGGGTCATAACACTGTGCACTTTTAGTCAGTTAGCGAAATTACGGAAAAAACCTTATATGCTCCATCTCGTTTCAATATTGCTCGCCATTCCAAAATCGAT